AAATGACCCTGAAAAAAAGGATTATCTCTATGATGATTGAGCCGTATGTTCTAGACCGTTATGGTGCTAAAAGACACAATGATGAGAAACAGGTCCGCAGCATGATAGGTCCTCTACCTTATTTAACATTGATTGAGAGGTGATTTTCCAGATATTCATCCTATACTCCAGATCAACCCCGATTGGATCATAATTGGTCAGTAGAGTTTAATAAACTCCACATGTTTATGTCTGTGATGGTAGAAAAAGCCTCACAAACAAGAATTTGACAGATATCAGGTAACGGTTGTAAATGATATTTGGTGACCCCAGGAATACACTCTTTCCTGAAGTCTTCAAACAGTTAGCAATGGAGAACTTTTAACTCCCTTGCCGTATTCCAAGCTGTTGCAAGACAAACTTAAGTCCTCCAGTCTTGTTCATCCAAGTTCTAATGTTAAATGTTTAGATATCAGTAACTTTAGAGCAGTAACTTTTTTTGTAGTAGTTCCTCCTCTAATGTAAGTTTCATTGGTCAAACTGACTTTATTCCCATGATGCCTTGTCTTTCCCATTTTAAAGAATGGCTCAGATAAGAGGCAGATTTTTTTCATTTGTGAAAGCCCAGAAAATATTAAATTCATTGACACTCTGACTTGCTTCAAAAGTCCTAATTAAAAGTGCCATGATTGGATAAGGTAGGGGTGCCGGTATTTCTGCATGGTACTGCAGCAGGCTGCCATTTAGGTAAAGTTTCCTTACCTGCAGCCATCCACCTCTATCTTCACATGTAGGTTGAGCTCATCATGATGCCAAGATGACCGCTGCTTCCTTTGGTTCTTTTCCAAAGAACAAAAGTATTGATTTGACCTCTCCTGCTGTTCCTGCTATTTCCCTGGTTGTTTCTTCAGCCTTAGAATGGTCCAGGTTTTCTAGCGATGGGAGCCCTTTTACTCTTATCAACATCTTCCCTTCACAAATCCGCAAAATAAATCAAACTCTGGACCTTTCGCTGCTCATCTGACAAAATAGGTAGAAATGAAGGACACCCACTTTAGTCCACATTAGAAGGATAGATGGTTTTTGAAACTTAAGCAGCTTTGCAGAGGAAAAGATGAGCTCTATGGCACTGATTTCAAACAATTTCACATTAACTTTTTGTGTTCTTCAAAAAAACAGAATGCCCATTACAGGTTTGCACAGTCTATGATTTTATAATTTAAAAAAAGTCACTAATCATTCTTTTTTAAATAACAAAAACTGAAAAGGCAGTTTTCTGAAAATAAAAAATGGAAACTTCTAAAAGGTAATTATCCACTTTGTTTCAAATAAACACTAAAAACTATCCATACCCATTTAAAAAAATAAATAAATAAAAACTTCAGTGCATATTATGCAAAACCTTTTGACTATCCCTTTGGCCTTTATAAACTAATTCATCCAACGGTTTCAAAAAAGGGAAACAGAATGAATATGGAGGAAGGTATTTAAATAGAAAAAAAAAATGGAAAAGAAAAGTTAGGGCAGGAGAGAAGTAGGAAATAAAGAAGGGAATTGGGAAAAAAAGGTAGGGCACAAGAAAAGCAAGTAAGATAATAAGGAAGAAGGAAGAGAGAACAAAGGATACAATGTTTTGGCAATAATGTAGGTAATAGTTTACAAACCCAAATATTTTCCCATATCCTTTTTCTTTTTGCTGGAAAACAACTTAATTTCAACACTTTTCCAGAGTTTGAAAATAAACCCTGCATTAAAGTATAGATCAAACCATATTTATGTGTTAGAATGGCCCAATTTGAGGAGACATTATGACAAGCTTTGAAGAAATAATTAAGGTAATGCTTAAATTAACTTGAAAGTTACTGGATTCTAAAGTAAAGTGAAAAAAGGGTAACAGAAACTCAAAGCTATTTCCTTCCAGATTACAGATATGCAATTCTTCCTGTGGCTCTGTCAGAAGAAAACTATATTTTACTATGTTGTTCTAACGTGGGAAAAACAAGAAAAAAATAAAGCAAAATGTTGCATAGAAAGTTTTGCAAGCCAAATGTCAAAGAGAAGCACTCATGTATATATGCTTGTATGGTTGCTCATGCTGATTCTAACAGAGGACCTGTGTGGGAGCATGACACTTGCTCCTTTAATGTCTCTGCCAAAGTCGGATTAGATTATACTTCTAAAACTATACAAACACACATAGACAGACCTCTGCAACCTGCAGACAAAAAAAAAAAAAACAGTTCTCCACCTGGATGTTATTGGCCCCTGCCGCACCCTAATGAGCCCACCTCAACTCAGTCAAAGTCATCTGATGACACTGATGTAGGGAGATTGATATTCACGCTTGACTCGCCGTCCTCTCCGCTCGACTGCGGTGTTTACCTCCCAACACAATTAGTATCTGTTGAAGACAGACGAGAGAAGGGATGGAGTCAGGCTCCTCTGCTGCTGCTGTTGTTTGCGCCACCACATTAGCTCCAACTGTTTATGAAGATGGGAGATGTCTTTAAATGTGTGCTGAAGGTGGCTTTCTATATCATGGGGCCCATTACCGGCATATTTAATCCCCACAAAGCAGGTTAACCTTTTTGATTGTCAGAAGCTTCAATTGACTAAAGCCTAGTTGGGTTTAAATAAAATGCATATTTCAAGAGATAGATGTGAAATTTGCATTGAGGCGTGCCCAGGTTTGGCCCCTAATGCTGTGCATCAAACCTGAGAATTAGCATATAAACACTTAAAGCATTTAAAGAGGCCAGCTGTGTGACCACTCTGTGAAAATTGAGATGGTCAGCCTCTGGCATAAACAAACTTTTGGCTTAGGTGAAGAAGAACCAGAAACTGTGTCCTCCAGGTGATTTAGCAACAATTCACATTTTTTTCCTAATTAGTCTATTCACCATTTCAGTACAGTTATGCTGAATTTTAATTCCCATTGGCAATAAAAAAAAAAAAAAAAAAGGTTTGGCTGAAAAGGGCAGTTGGACATTTCAAGACAGGTCTGTTGGGTTTGTGCATATTTTGGTAAGTTTTTCACATGGAGCCACAGCGCCTTTCTCAGGGCAGCAGGGGAATTGCATTTTCCTCTTATTATCTGTTTATCTATTATTAAGAGATAAACTAATGGAAAATATTTCTTTTAGTTGTAACAAAGGCCGTCTGTTTCTTCCCTTAAACTTCATATGTATTCATGCTATTTCAGATCACACATTTTTTTGCAATATGGCTACCTTAATGTCTATTTTCCGGCATTTTTCATAAACTTTTGTTCCACATCTTCAAAACGTCAAAATGTAAACCCATTTAAATCATATAATTGTCTTTTAATCTTTTGTATCACTTATTTACATACTTTAATCAAATAAGTTAAGTCTATCCATTCTTTTAAGTCAAACTTTATTCATGTGCAATTCATTTATTTAGCTTATTTTTTAAGGTTTTTTTGTAAACCCTTAGCAAAAAGTAGAATACTCGAAGTATACTACATTGGGAGATTTTTAAGTATACTAAAGTATACTTTTTATACTTCCAGTGTAAGTCAAGTACACTTGACTATATACTATTGTTAAATATATTAAATATAGTTAAGTATAACTAACTAACTATAACTAAGTAAACTCTAAGTGCACTGCCTGATTTTAAGTAGGAAATTAGTGCACTTTTAGTATCCTTGAATAAACTACTTTTTGCTAAGGGAAGGTTTATAAACTAACGCTGTCTTCAAAAATAAAAAAATTTCAAAGAACGGTTTGGCTCTTATCATCTGTAAAGTTCACGTATAATAAAACGATGGGGGGCTGAGTTCGGCTTCTAATGTTTCTATTCATGTCAATTCATATAGCACCAATTCACAACTTGTCATCTCAAGGCAAGTTGTAGTGATAAATTAACCAGATCATAAAGTCAGATTAGTTCAAAGCTTTCTATCTAAGGAAAACCAGGTGATTGCATCGACCCTCGTACTGAGCATGCATGTAGTGACACAGTATAGGAAAATCTCCTATTTAACAGTAAGAAACCAGGCTCAGTGTGAGCGGCCTTCTGTAGAGGCTGACTGGGGATCAAGGAGACAGAAGCAGAAATTCTAAAAGAGAAGATACAAAAGGTAAACTGTTAACTAGCTGTACGGATGTCACTGTCCAGAAAAGTAACAGAAAAGCAGACAAGCTCAGAGTGAGTTCCCATATCAGAGGATGAAAGAAAGCACATTCATTTTGACACAGTAAAATAAACAGGACTATACTCCAACATCAATAAACAAAGGTGCTGATGGGAGCAGCCCAGCTCATAATTCTGCAGGTTGCACTCTGAACCCCAAAAAAAACAAAAAAAAAAACAGACTAGATTAAGCTGATACGATAACAAAAGCAGTGAGACTATTAAGTTGGAGGTTGAACCGGCAAATACTGCTGATGGGAGAATATAGATAAAATGAAGCCGAATGTTGAAAAGCTGTCACTATGTCCTCCAGCATTCTAAGCCTATAGTACCATAATTATAGAAATAGTTCAGGACAACCTAAGCCACTCTAACTGTAAGCTTTATTTTAAAAAAGGCTTTAAGTATAGTCTTAAAAGTAGACAGGGTGTCTGCGTGATGTACTAAAACTGGTAGCTGGTTCATCAAGACAGAAGCTTGACTCCCATTCTACTTTTAGAACTTCTAGGAACCACTAGTTAACCTGCAGATTGAGAGCAAAGTGATCCGTTAGTTACATAAGGAACAATCACATCCCTGATGCAAGATTGATATTTCCTTATTTGAGCTCAGTATGTAAAACATTATTAAATAATCCAGTCTCTTTACAGCATTTATTTGTTTTAACTCTAACATCTTTAACAGCTACAAATCTAGTTTGCCATAAAAGGAGAAAAATGTAGTGATTTCATTGGACATGTGAGCCAACATCATTGACATGGCTCATTAAAAACAACTGCCAATGTTCAATAATGAGCTAAAATTAACTGCAAGCTGATTAAAAACAGAGTATGAAACACATTGAAATGCACAACAAAATTTCCTTTTGTATTTTTATTTTGCTACAAAAACAGTCCCAGCAATATTATGCAAGTTCCCCCCTTTCAAAAATAACACTACAGTAAAGTAGAAAATGAAGTATATCAAAACTACCCGGTGCTACCCAGAAAAAACAAAACAAACAAAAAAAAAACAAGCGACCATATATATATATATATATATATATATAAAAAAAAGTCTTCCAAGTCTACATCTACAAAAGTTATAAAAAGGTTAATTAAAAAGGCAAATATTCACCACAGAATGGGTCACATCACAATCACTCTGCATGATTTTCCCCACATATAAAGTAATGCAAATACTTTACAATAAGTTAACGGAGGCACATTCTTTTACCACTACAGCAAAGCCAAGTAACAGTCAAATGTTTTACTTAAAAAAAAAAAAATAATAAACTCACACTTGACTTTTTTTTTTCTGTTTTTTTGGCAAATTTCACAAATAGAAAAATCAAATGACAAGAAATGATCTGGGTAGCAACATTTTTTGGTTTCTTTAGAACAAAACGTTCCATGTTAAGACAATAGACTGTGAGGGAGCTTTAGAGTATACTGAGGCTCAAAAGTGGTACAATCCAATACATAAATTGTTAAATACATACTTATACGACTGGAGATATTAATCTGATCATAGTACAAGTTAAACAATAGAAATCAGTTGCTCATGAAATTACATAAACTGCCAATAGGTCATATCATTTAGACCCAATAGCTAACTTGGATTCAAAAAAAGATAGATCAAATGTTTAATGTATACAAATCATATTTAAACTGTTCAATCATTGACTGGTTTAATGTATGCATTTCATTCAATATTTAACAATTTATGCGTAGAGGTGAACTTTTGGCCCCCAGTAAAGACAAACATCATATAATGTATTAAAATATAAATACTGTATTCATGTGAAGAAAAATATACCAAAACTTTTTTTTTTCATAAAAACGGGAAATAAACTGTAAGCATACAATATAATAACTTAAAGAGACAACAAAAGAGGCTTTTTAGAGTGTTTTGTTCTTTTTTTTATGACACTTGAGCCCTGTTTTTTTTATTCTTTTTGATCATTCAAGCAAAACAGATCCACCTAAATACTAAAAAAAAAAAACAATAAAAAAAAAGACATCTGTACAGTACCAACAGCATGTATGTCCAACAAATACAAAATAAGTTAGTGTCAGGCGATTGTACAGGTTATTTACAGCTTAAATACAAAGGAAGGGAACAAACTTAAAAAACGTGGGAATGATGCGAGCTTAACGTGCATTTATTCAAATTAATGGGATTTGGTTAGGCGCCAAAACGCACTAGATCAGCCGTTCACGACAGAAATGGCAGTGGAGGTGTTTGTATTGAGGGTGGAGGAGGCAGAAAGGAAGCCTCTGTCTGGCTGTCTTGGCACAGTTACAAGCCTGGAGGAGAGGAAATACGGACACATTCATTTCTGACACCACCTGTTACAGCAGGTGCCCAGTAAACATAGAAGCCTGCTGCAGAGACAGGAGGATGGGAATGAGGGTTGGGATGAGGAGTGTTGGAAACTTTTTTTTTTTTTTTGAAGTTAGTGGTCTTATCAGTCTACATCGCTGAGGTCGCTGACTTGTTCATCCTGCACCAGGCTCAGGTGGTTCATGGCACGGCTAAAGGCGATCTGGACCGCCTTGCGGATGCTGGACGTGCGGCCTTCCATCAATTTGATCTTGTCGATGGTTTTGTCTACTCCAAGAGGAACCATCTTGGATCTAGGAAGCCACTGCCTGAAGAGGGAAAAGAAAAAAAGAACCACACTGAAAAAAAACTGCAGGTAATCAATGTTATTTCAACATACTTGTCCAGCATAGAGTTTTCTTAATAGGAAATTAACAATGAATACAATCTTTTTATTTTACAGTTTCAGTTTATTTGGGTATTCTTTCAATTTTACAGGTGGAAATAAAGTATTCACCCTGAACATTTCAAGCTTTTCTTTGTAAATGTTTTCAAATTAAGCTTCACACAAGATGTCAGCAACCATTTAAGCAGTGCTCGAATATAAAGATAATTAAATTACCAAACCAATTATAAATATCATAATGGAATAAAAGCAAAAATATTGAATGGATTAATAAAAAAAGCCAAACACAAAGTGAAAACAACAGCTTAAATCAGATAGGATTTAGATAGCAATACTGCCCCCTATCAGCAGCTGTTAGTATTTACTAGCTTTGCCCATAAATATTCCTTATTAAAAAGGTAATAAACAGAACGCAGCTGGTGTAGCCACTGTGTTCTGTAGCCAGCTCCCTAAAAATGGTGGCACGTTATTAAAGGAACGGCAGATTTGACATATAAAAACAAATATTTTACCGGCTGTATATAAAAGTCACCTTAAAGGAATAGTACACCCAAAACATGATTAGCCTTCATTTTCTACTCACCCCCATGCTGAACAACACTCTGGAGTAATTTTTTGATATCTCAAATGCATCTGGAGATCTGGGAGGCTTCTTGCTGTCTGCTGACATTCAAATAATGGAGGTCTATGGTGACCGAGACAGAAAGGTCCATAAAAGTCCACAAAAAACGTGTCAATATTCCTCCATACTGCTCGTCCAATGTATTCCAAGTGTCCTGAGTGGGTAGCATCCAGAATTTACTCGAAACAAAGTCATTTAGAATGTTTTTAGAGCATAAACAGTAGTGTATAGGATTTCCTGAAAGCGCGCACACGCGCGGTCAGAACGCTACGGAAACCGCGGCAGACCAAACCAGATGGAAGTGCGCATTCAGCTCGGCAAAGAACTCATGCTCTTCCTCAACACTGAAGTCCTCAGACATTTTTCTTTCGTTGTTTCTTTCTTTGCACAGGTAAACAGCACATTTCTTCTTCTACGCTTGCATTATTGGGAGAGCAGACGCTGAATGCGCACTTTCATCTGGTTTGGTCTGCCGGCTTCCGTAGCGTCGTGAGCGTGCATGTGCGCGCTTTCAGGAAATCCTACACACTACTGTTTATGCTTTAAAAACATTCTAAATGACTTCGTTTCGAGTAAATTCTGGATGCTACCCACTCAGGACACTTGGAATACATTGGACGAGCAGTATGGAGGAATATTGACACGTTTTTTGTGGACTTTTATGGGAATTTCTGTCTCGGTCACCATAGACCTCCATTATTTGAATGTCAGCAGACAGCAAGAAGCCTCCCAGATCTCCAGATGCATTTGAGATATCAAAAAAGTACTCCAGAGTGTTGTTCAGCATGGGGGTGAGTAGAAAATGAAGGCTAATCATGTTTTGGGTGTACTATTTCTTTAAATCTCTCTAACTTTTTTTTTACCATCCACTGTATATATCTGGATGCACAGTATTTACTTCATGCACATTCTGTTCTTTATAAGAGACGATGTCACAAGTGAATTTCTCTATAGTGAGATCAATAAAGTTCTATTCTAGTAGAACGTGCCAACATGGCCAGTCAGAGCACACATTGGCATTTTAGGCTTATATTTTGGGCCCATATATTAGAAGCTACAATCAAGCTTGGTGAAGCATGGCAGAAAAATCTGTTTTTCTCCAACCATCACAGATGTAAACAATTTTTTAAAGATTTAACTGGATCAGTGTCGTTTGGTCAGATCAGAAATTGCTTTGGTTTTTTTCTTACATTAAAAACTCTAGATCATAATAGTACTTATACTTCAGCGTTAGTATCAAGGTGTTACTTTATTGTATCTTTTATAATTTATCCGTTGGTTGTGCTGTTCTTTTACATCTCTTTGCAAGTGATGAAGCAGACTGAAGATGTTTTATTGTTATCTCCCTTTTATCTCCCGTTTCTTTCATCTTTTCTCCTTTTTTCTGTTTTTTCTTTCGACTTACATTGCAGTGTACATATAATCTGTAAAACTCTCTGCACAAATTATAATAAAGCTATTTATATGCCTAAATCAAGCGGAACACTATGGCGATAGCCGTATGTACTGCTCCACTTGTGAAAGCAAAATCTGTTGGCCTCTTTTTGGCATCAAGACAATTATTCTTATTGCCACATCGCCAGAAAGGACACCATTAAAAACAGCTAATTACGGCGAATGATGTGTGACACTGCAGGCTATTTTATTGTATTAAATCAACCACTTTACATCCACTTTCAAACTAAAGATGGTTAGTTTATGGTAAGTTGAAAATAATCTGAAATATTTGTTCACATCAACACAAAAATAGTCCCTAAACCTAAATCCTACAGTAAAGCTGCAAAGTAAACTGAACTCTGGTTGATTTGATGATAGAGTCTTTAGTTGTATCTTAATGGCAAAAGAATACTGTAAAATGTAGGAAAAGCAATTAAATGTGGAATATCTTTCCTTTCACAAAGTAAATAAACTCAAATCTAATGTTATATCCCAATCTTTCAACATGAGATTAAAGCTGCTGCAATAGAAGATGGATTTATTTAAAGGAATTTTACACAACCCCCACCAGGGCTGCCAGTAATCATGGAGCCGTGCCGCATGTATGAAATATCTTGGCATCCTTTCACGATATTTTAATGGGAGTTGAGGTGAAAATATCAAGTGCCTCTCCAGGCGAAGCCATTTGTTCTCTCCTGACAACTGATGCTCTGCAGCCAGAGGAGAATAATGATCAGCTGGCGGGGAGGTTGACAGGTTTACCCTTGTAGAAGCTCGTGTCGGCCTAAATCACTCAGACGAATGGCGGCACTCACCAGCTGCGCTTGTTGTCGAAGAAGAGGACAAGGTAGAGCTTCTCCTCTACCTTGTACTGCATCTGCTCTCCGATTCGCAGCACGTCCATGGGGGGAATGGGGATGGACACCCCATTGTGCTGACAGCCGACGCGTGGCATGTGGGGGTCTATGATCTGCTCACAGCGGGGAGGGGGGAGCAATCATGAGTTCACAAAGTCAAAACTGTTTACAAAAAACAACTCTTTGCACACTGCTAGCTTATTGCATTAAAATTCCTCATTTTTTATTGTAACAAGCTAACATAAAATTGCTTATTTACAGTGCCATCTAGTGGTTAAATAAAACATAACTCCAACTGTCTTAATTTTCAGTTCTCAGGTAGATGGTTTTTACAATATGACTTCAGTAAGGCCTGAACATGAAGGTGACATTTAAATAAAGTTTAAGAAACATCAGGCAGTCTCTGCGACATACACTCACCAAGGCAGGGTAGGAAGGATAGCCACTGCATTTGGCCCAGACTAGCTTTAAGGGTTCCAGGGCAACTGTTGAAGCACTAGCCGGCATCCAAATATTGCTGTTGCCAACCTCTATGGAAGTGGGAACAACACCAGACAAGTTATACACAAAAAAACACTTTCTCTAAAGCTGAGCTGTTAGTGGAGTGGTGCAAAAATTAATCAGGATGGGAAATTAGCTTGAGAAGATGCGGAGAGGGGCAAACACTTCAACTTGCCAGGACTTTCAGGGTTTAATTAGCCAAATATGAGCTGGAGATGAGGTGTGAGCATCCAGATGCAGAGGGGTTTCAAGCCATGGTGGCAGGCAGAAAATAAAAATTTACCGGTCACTGCCAAAACTCAAAAGCCCCTGGCTTAGAGCTGATGTTCATTTCCAACATTGCTTTTTATGCATGAATTAAAAAAAACAGATGTTGGCAGGTTTTATTGCATCAAATCTTCAGATTTTTATTTAACACAGAGATAATTCAGTGATATCTGCAGACATTAGGGATGCTGCAAATCTCTTTAGTCCATTATAGATTTAATACAGTGGCAAAAATATTCATTCTCCTTGAATTTTTCTGCCTTTCTGAACATAAACACAAGCCAAATATTTAAAATTTGCATTGAAGCTACATTTTTAATATGCAAAAGCTGCTGCTTGTGCTTAATCTTGGTTATAATGTGAGAAAAAAGCATAAAGAGGTTCAAGAGGCAACGATGAAAGATGATATGAAATGTGTGATTAAATTGAATACATTCAACTTGATATTTATGACAAATTAAAAATGGAGACAGTGAGCAACAAACGGTGTAGTTTTTATTATAACCCAGGATATTAGCTTGTAAGAAAAGAGCAATCATGTGTTTAATATGATTCATAAACCTTTTAACACTGAACTTACCTGCAGCAATCCGTGCAGCTTTTGCAAAGTTCCCCGATTCAATGCAGGCAATGAGCTCACTCTTATCATCCACAGTGTTTCGTCTGACCAACGCCGGTTTCCCCTTTCCACATTTTGGCAGACTAAGAATGGTGCTGTGAGAAAAACACCCACTTTAGGACATGCTAACCTGGACGAACCCTTTAGATAAAACAGCTGTAACTAAACATCAGGGTCCTCTGTCTCTATGGAAACAAGGAAAAGCTAGCTTACCCAGCACTTCCTTGAAGACTGCTACATGAAGATATGGAGGACTCTGAGGCACAGCGCCGTCGCTGCTCCACTGGTCTGCTCGTACTGCGGGGTTGTTCTAGTTCCTGCTCCTCATCCATTCCCAGAAAACCTCTTGACAGGCCTGGAGGGAGCCAGAGCAAAGTTTCAAAGCATATCTCCCCCTGGATCTGATCACCTCCTGTTAAGCTAATTGCTAATGTAGATCTAGCTTGTTACACTAATCTTTCATGTAGCCTCAGAGTGAAAAAGAAAGTTTTCATTTCTGGGTTTACTGATTCAGATGTAGATAATTTCTCCTGCGTATTTTTACCCATGTCTAGTCTCTTCCCAGGAGACGCCTCCTCTTCTTCGCCGTCAGCCTCCCTTCCTTCTGCCTCCTTGACTTGGCTGCCGCTGTGTTTCCTCTTCTTGCTGTGAAGAAGCGTCTCCAGCCGGGGTATGACAACCGACAGGAAGGATTTGGAGCCCAGCTGAGAGGCGTCTCTACCTTCCACCTCCTGCTCGCCTGATCCTTCGTCGGCACCGTCGCAATCCTCGTCTTTCTTCTCCGGCGGCCTGTGTGCTCCGGCGCACTTCGATTTGTAGAAGTTGGCAGCTGTCCGGTGGTTGGCCCCGCCTGCGGGCTCTGCGACGGTGGACTTCGCCAGCACGCTCACATCGCCGTCCAGCAGGGTGCTCTGAAGGGAGTGGCCGTTGAGGCGTGGAGCGGAGGAGAGCAAGTCGGCTGCTTGTTCATCCAGCTTTAGTCGCTTGCTGTGGATCTTTTCCTCGCAGTCCGGGTCGTCATCAATCGGTCTGAGGGTGGGGGGTTCAGAATGTGTTTCTGAGCGGAGGACGGGGGGTATAGCACCCGGTGGCTCCAGTTTAGGAGGAAGAGACTTGTCTCCTGTGGAGAAAGCACAGTTCTGTGTATTGATTTCCATCTTAAGCCAGCACTACTTAAACTTCACCCATGTTTTAATAAACTGACCACCTTTCTTAGACTTGATGTTCTTTTCTGGGAGGCATTATCTAATAGTTCAAGAAAACACGATAGAAACACTGTGGATCAGTAAAGCTTCAAACAATTCCACTTTAAAGCCAAGCCATCCTTAACAACGCCCCGATCAAAGCAAGGAGGTTTTGTTTTATCACAGCTGCAGTGTGTTTTTCTGAACCTGTCGACAGCTTTTTATGAATACAAATGAATCCACATAGTTTTTACACAACTGCTCACCTATAATAAATTTCCCCCATTCCATTTTTACAGCCTGCTGAATAAAAAACCCCATTCATCAAAGCACTCTTGTGATGCAATACTACAAATTCTGCACTATTTTAAGGAAAACTTTCTTTACCAAAAGATTCCTTTATATATTTTCAGAGGCTGGTGTTAAATAGGGTTGTCACGATACTAAACTTTTCAACTCGATACCGATACTAAGGAAAATATTCGATACTCGATACCATTTTCGATACCACAAGGATAAAATTTCAACAGAAATATTTTGATTAATAATTAAAATACAATAAATAAATACATACAATAAACAATAAGAACAACATTTTGAGGTTGTATGCTGTGACAATATTAAGCAAGCTTGATAAAAAACTTACAAAATTAAAATTAAGTTTTCCTTCCCTGGCTATGCTTTGTACACATAACAATGACACTAGTCAAACCGGTTAAGAAACAAAAATAATTCTCAGCAGCTACAACTGTTACAAAAAAAGTCTGAAACTGAAAAGTGCGCAGAATTATTCAATCACAGTGTTCAGAAAGTGCATTTTCCTCTATTCTGCACTTTAGATGAATGACTGTTTAGGTGCGACTGGTACTCGATACTTTTGAAAATAAGTATTGTATCCGGATACAACATTTCAGTATCGATACTTTTTTGAGTATCGATACTTTTGACAACCCTAGTGTTAAATAGTAATTATATTCAAGTTTTTTAAACAGTCTTTAAGGGAGAAGCCCTTTAGGATTGTGGAAGTGGATCAGGGGCTAATACAGTATTTTTTTAAGTAGGATATATTAGTTAATTGCAAAACTTTTAATTTGTATTACCGTAAGTTAAAACCGCTCACCTTTATTTTACCAACCTGAGACATACTAAGGAATTATATTTAAGCAAATGGAAAGGTATAGATAATTTGATTTAGAGAAAAAAACAAAACAGCCTATAACCCCAAACAGTTTCCCTGTGGTAGTGGAAGTATCATGCTATGGGATGCTTTTCTTCAACATGGTTAAACTGGCTGGTCTGAGTCGATAGGAAGATGCGGTGAGATTTGACAAACTTTTTTTTTTTTTTTTTACATTAATTAAATAAATAAAATTAAATCAACACAAATTATGTACATTCAGTATCTATGAAAGAAAAAATAAACTCTGTCCCAATGCCATGTTTGAATGTTTATTAGGTAGACTCACATTTTAATACACACATTTCTTTAAGGCCACACTGTAGTTATAAAGTGAAAATATTTAAAGATATTTGCTTTTTTCAGTTTAAAGGGACATTAAGTTTTTAACCAAGACATATCCTTAAACAAGGATAACCGCTCTGATCATATGCAAGTAATGATAAACTAGTTTCGTTTTAAGTATTTTTTTGCCATTTAAATGGTCCGATAAACCCCCGTAACACCCTGGAGGTGCTCTGATTTTAACAAGTTGGGTTCTGGACCTGCTTAGAATAAGCCAACGTAACCAGATCTAAATCAGGGCTCCATGTTTATTCAAGTAATTCTTGTTTGATCAAAAAACAAAGGTAAATGGTACTTTTACTCTACTTGAATATGACTCACTACAAACTAAGTCTACATACAAGATTGTGTTAATGTTTTGTCGAAACGAGCCACACCTTCAACTCCAACAAGGACACATTTCACATTCTAAGTGACTTTTGTTGTTTTAAAGAGACATCCATCCCTTTGAAAACTAATCAATACAGCTATCACATGTTGACATCAACCCCAGCTGGGGAAGAAGAGGCAGAAATAAGAGCTGTTTTGATCCAAATCATCCTAATGGTTAATGTTTGTCCTGAATAAACAGGAAATGAGAAAAACGGTAAAACACCCTAACTTTAAATACATACCTTCATCATCTTGAAAGTGCCCATTGGGTTTTATTCTTTCCTCTGTGGATTTCTCCAAATCCGGAGGGGACGTGGCCAGGGCTGAGGCAGAGGTGGAACTATGATGGTAAGAGGGCACTAGTTTCTTCAGGCTGATTTCATTTCGCACGTCGTTGATGGTTTTCTTAAGCAGCTTAAGGCGCTTGCTGCGGGAGGGGCTGGATTTCATGGCACACGTCAGGTCGAACTTCTCCAGGAGCTGCTGCAGCTGTTTGTCCGGAGGCAGATGCTCTCGGTTGGTCGGCAAAAGCAGACGGTCCACTAAAGGTGGAGACAAAAAAAACACAAGATCACTAAAAGATTGATTAACAGCCGAGAGGGACAGATTAAAGCTAACCGCCAAGCTGGAGAGACTCTAACAAACTTTGAATCGTTGACCCAAAATATGAGGTTTAAGTAATGGGATGCTCACCGTCTTCCCAAGAAAACGACGGTGGTGCTTTGATTTCAGGAGCTTCGGACAAATGCATCCCGCTCTCCCCGTCAAAGCCGATCCTCTCCACGTCTCGGCGGGCCTTCCTGAGCAAGACACCGCCCTGGTCCCTGAGGCGAACGGCGGCTCGGTAAAAGTAGGTGTCCTTCAAGTTGTACTTCATGCAGTTGTCAATGATGAGGTTGAAGTCTGCCTCAAACTGGTCTAAGTTGGTGTAGGCTTGGGCGTCAATGCGCTGCCGCATGGTGGAGAAGTCCATGGGGTGTTTGATATGGTCCAGATAGTCAGGTACCTGCAGGGAAAACCATATGATCGACAAAACGTTTCCTTTAAGTCAGTCAAATATCATTTGATGTTCAAAAGAATCGCCCAACGTGGGTCTCGAACCCACGACCCTGAGATTAAGAGTCTCATGCTCTACCGACTGAGCTAGCCGGGCTTCATGGAGGTGAAACCCCATACTTTTCTCAAAGCGGCAGTAGTTCTGTCTTGACGTCACATTCTGCAGGAAACCACACAGTGTAACCTTATCGGCACAAGATTTATGACCCGACTCAAAGTTGAGAGTGAAACTAGCAGCTGTCTGGCAGCTGCATGCGGTGAAATTTGAAAAACTTTTTTTTTTTTTTTACATGAATTAAGTCAAACACAATTAACTATGAAACCGTTCTAAAAATCAACACAGTACCTCTGAAAGACAAAATAAACTCAGTCCCGTTACTATGTTTAAATGTTTATTAGGTAGACTCACAGTTTAATACACGCATTTCTTTAAACCCTTTAAACTGTAGTTATAAAATAAAAAGATTTAAAGATATTTGCTTTTTCAGTTTAAAGGGAAATTAAGTTTTTAAACCAAGACATATCCTTAAAATAGCCTTTTTATTTGAGCCAAATTATGTTTTGGTCATAACTACTGACACCAAGTAGTTCAGTGCCAATGCATCTATTAATTAGCCTGTCTGTAGCCTTTTTTTGCAAGAATGTACTTTGGATTTGAAGTTCCTGTGCTATTCTGCGAATGCAACATCAATTGCGTCCATGTTGAATTGGTCCGAACTAGCAAACAATCGAAGCGTCATACTCAACATGGATTTGGTGGTTACACAGAGACGACCCGCATCAAGCTCAACTCAGACATCAATGGCAACTCCACATAAGGTGAAAGGTGTAAAGTACGAGTGTGAGCTTCGAGAACGACCAGGAGAGTGCTGGTGTAACTTACCATTATTTTTCAAATCGACGAATCTGTCGGTTATTTTTTCGTTTAATCGATTTTTAATCAGATAGCCAAAGATTCCTTAAAGAGGACTTTTTATGAAATAAAGCCAGGTGGAACTAGAACTTTTCCACTTCTGGATAGAGCATATTGACAGACAAAATATATGTAGTTTTATTTTATTTTTTATCTTAAATGCAAAATGTTAATATATATTTTTACAATCTTTGTATAATTGGTGCTCCAAGTGGGTTGCTCTGTCGCCTAAAAGTATATTTGAGTCTCTATACTCCAGTTTACGTTTAAACGATTACTAAATCGGTTGACGATTATTTCAATTTATTGATTAATCACAATCAATTCGATTAATTGTTTCAGCCCATTTTTTCGGTATCAATAAAATAAAAATGCAGTCATCCAATTTTACCTGTTATTCGGACTCTTTTCTCTTAAAACGCTCACCACAAAAACAAATAGGGAGATTTTCCGCAAAAAAGAAAAAATGAAATAAATTGTACATTAACAGTAAAATTGCTGCGCGCTGTTACAGAAATTCTAATTCTCCTACGTTTGGAGTAATGGGCGACAAAGAGACGCTAAAACCAGGCTCTTCTATAGCTCTTTCATGTTAAAAATCCACACTTCTCCAAATCAACTTTTTCTGACACAAGAAGTCAATTTATTACTCATTCCTGAGGTATAAATACAAACATGAACAATTCATTTAAATTGGTCATGCTTTGAAGGCAGAATAGGACAATAAAAAAAGGACAGGGTGAAGACGAGCAGACAGATAAACACAGATGAACAAGACAGATGGCTGGACAAACACATGGATGAAAGGATAGGTGGACAAATTAATAAAAATAGATGAATAAAAAAAAAGGGAGGATGGATGAATGAATAAATAAATTCCTTAATTGCAAAGAGGAACAGCAGAATTGACTATAATACAGCTGAATAAACAGATTAATAGATACAACCTTTGGACAGTTTCATTTGGAACAAAATATGGAAATAGAACATTCCTTTTCCAAACTAGACCTTTTCTGACTGTCCTGAAAACCACGGAATAAAAAAAAATGTTTGAACGTCTTTTGAAGATCACCTCATTGACATCCACAGGCTGGGTGAAGATCTTTGCCTGGTCTTTTGCCTGCAGCTGGTCCAGCAGAGCCCGGAGTAAAATGCTAAACGGCGTTAGCTGCATCTCTAGAACGCTCTCGTGTAGTTTTATCTGAAACAAAGCCATGGGGAAAATAAAGACAAACATGAATGAATAAGAGTTTACGGCGATTAGTTGATCAGCCTCATGTCAATATGTTGATGCTTCTCTTACCTCTTCTCTCTTTAGCTTCTCTCTCTTGCGAATCAGCTCGAGCAGCAGCCGTGCTCTCTCCAGGTCATGACGCAAGCGATGCCATTCCTTCAGCTGCTCCTTCAATGCTCTGCTTTCCTCCTCATTTTGCCTCTAAGGAGAAAATATATTAAGAAATTCAAAAACAAGCATGCACAATTTCTATGAGTTGAATAAAAACTGTCTTCTGATAAAAATATGACTATATTGAGCCACAATTGATGCCCTTTCTGAGCCCAGTTAGTGGAGTTGGTTTCCTGATATGTACCCGAACTTTAAGCACAGTCCATAGGCATATGATAAGGTTAGGAAGTTAAGGAAGCGGATCAACCAATCCTCTGATTCAACAAACTAGCAGTTGGTTTCTGAAGAATTTTGAGGTAATCTACCTTATTCGAAATTCTACTAACAGTATAAACCACTTTTACTCAAAGCAAAGCAATGCTGATACTATTACTTTTGATAGATTTTACAATGCCCCTGTGTTTTAAAGCTTAATATATGTCTGACCATGAAGGTTTTCAAAATGGGAAGGCTGCAAAATTAGTCAGGCCTGAAGTAAAGTCAGGCCTATTTTTTCAATGGAAACTTAAAACTGGTGTTCAGCAGCTTAAACTTGAGCCATAATGGTTTCTTACTTGCATGTGAACATCAGAAGCAGTTTTCATCATCAACTTTATCTGTAGGGCGTTTTAAAGCAGCTACAAATCAAAGTGCTGAGAATAGCTAATATGAATAAAACACAAAATAATAAAATACAGCATAAAAATATAAAATAATGCAATAATATGAAATTGTTTAAGCTAAATAATAAAGGTCACAAAACTAAGTTCAGCCAGTTTTAAAACCCAGAATTTGGCAGTGTAGGAGCCTTCCTAATGTGCATTGAGAGGCTATTCCATAAAAGAGGAGCAGCGATAGAGAATACTCTGGCCCCTCTGAACTTCCGCCTAAACCTCGGTACCAGGAGCTGCTGTTCTGCTGACCTGAAGGACCGAGGAGGCAAGTAGGGGTGAAGAATATCAGAGAGGTAAGATGGGGCAAGGTCATTTAAGCACTTAAACTGAATAATAATTTTAAAATCAACTCTAAAATCCACAGGCAGCCAATGGAGTGAGGCCATGACTTCATATTTTTGAGCAACAGTTAAGGACGAGCAGCTACATTTTGCACCAGCTGCAGGCGAAACAACAAAGACGGACAAACACTAACATAGAGCCCGTTATAGTAATCCAATTGAGATGAAATAAAGAAGAGAAAATAAAATTTTTGGTCAAATTACTGAAACCTGGGACGACATGAGTTATTGATGATAACTTTTTTTAGATACAAAGCAATATAATAAGCGATGCTCTCCCACAGAGCCATTGGAAATATGTGCACCATAATGAAAGTTGGGTCTGTGGCTGCGAACCAACACATTTAAATGGAACATGTTATTTCTGACAGGTTAAATAATTCAGCCAGAAATACTGCAGAAAAATGGCAATGGCTACCAAACATACTTAACTTCCTAGAAGTACACTTATCCAAAATGTAGTAGTGCAGATCTGTGTTGACCCTGTATGAATTTAAGAAAATAGGGCCAAAAAAATAGTGCTCTGTATCCAATCTCTGTATTTAAAACAAAGCTTCCGGTTGAAAATGAATTTGTTTATGAGTCCAGGAGATGCAAACGCAACTCCCCTAAAAACTGTCAATACAAAGCCTCAACAAGATGAAAAAGAGATAATATAGGAATAAGTTGTTGTTTTGTTTGGCCAACACCTTGACAAAAGTATCAGAGTGAATAAGCTGAGGAAGTCGTACCGGCTGGGCGTTCTTCTGTGACTGCAGACAAGTTTGAAGGCGTCTAATCAGGGGCACCCCGTTCCTGGATCGCCTTTTCAGTGTCCAATAATTTAGAACCAGTTCCACAAAGGCTCTCTTCTTCTGAATGGACACCTGGTTGAGAATGGTTTGTAGCCTTCACAAGCCACAAGGAAATGTATTAAGACCAGTGAGATAAAACACTGAGAAATGTTTCCAGCACTATTCCAGCTTTGATCATAATAGAAATACGGGGTTAGTACATATTTTCAAGCAAAAAGTCTCAAAATGGATTTCCAACAGTTCAGGGTCAGTCATATTTATTTCAGGCAAGGAAGAAGGGATAGAAAGAAAAGAAAGTCACATCTGAAGATGGAAGGAAAATGAAGAATGGAAAAAGGAGGCAATGATTAAATACACAGTAGGAAGGAAGGAAAAAAGCAGGGAAGAAGAAAAAAATAAATCAATAAGGAGCAGCAGGAAAAAAAACAAAGGTCCTAAGAGAGAAATGCCAGTATGAAGAAAAAGTAAATAGAAAATGACACTAACAGAAATAAATTAAGAATATAAAAAAAGGAGGAAATTAGACAAAAAGAATGAAAAAGGACACAAGAAGGCAAGAAAATAATGCAGTTTATAATTTAGAGAGAGGGAGGTATAAAAGGAATAATTGACAAAGAAAGAGGGACAGAGGGATTCAACGGCGACAGTGGGAATAGGAATAAATTCTGGGAATAATAAACTAACATCTCTCTTTACTCTTCTATTTCTTCACATGTATGTAGACCTAGAAAATACTTCACAAACACCACCTTTTTTATTTCTGTGTAGATACAGAGTTAAATGCTTGCAATACTGAGCAGATAATCCACAGTTTAGGATTCTACCTGTGAGCAGGAAAACTAGGCACAGTAGCAGGAGCTGCAGCCTCACTTTCATCATCAGGTTCAGGCTTTTTATTCTTGCTTTTCTTTTTCTGCTTCCCCTTGCAATGTTCTTTATCGTCTCCCCTCCCTTTATTCCCTCTCTTACAGAGTCCGTTTTTCCTTTTGGCATCTTCATAAATGGAGAGAGGTCTCCTTACACATCCATTAGGCGTGTGAGCTCCACAGTAGGCGGTCTTTTTAACAGAGAGGATGGCCTCCCCTGCTTCCGTTACATCATTGATCGGCTCCATCTTCATGAAGAGCCCAGCCTTTTGGGCACAAGTAACATGGAAAGCCGTGTAACAGTTGGCTTTGTGACACTGGATGCAGGCACCAACGTTTTTCTCCTTGCATATGTAGCAGGTGAGCTTCCAGCGAGCTGGTGGGATCTGACTGACGCCGTCGATGGGTTCGATAAATGTGCTGTTGGAAAAACCGACCTCCGGGACCCAGAGGGCGCACACCACGTGGCCCCACCGCTCATCGTCCGTCTTTTTCAGAGCTCCGCCTTTGTTGGGACAGAGAATGCAGTCCGCCGGCTGAGTGGGCGACTGAAGGCAATGCCTGCAATACCAGGGACCATCCGGGACGTAGGGGACGCCGTAACATTCTTGGTGCACCGACACGCTGCACATGCCGCAGAACAGGATAGTGTTGCTTTGGTGACACTCTCCTGTCATACAGATTGAACAAACCGCATCCTCGTCGACGGGAGGCTGCTTCTCACTTGCTTGATCCAGCCTTTCCAGGTGCAACTCCTTCTCAAAACGGTCAATCAGGAACTCAAAAACATTGTGGGAAACCTGACTCATCCCTTCGCTTCTGCGCTTTTCATTGACCAAGTCCAGCCATGCATAATCTTCCTCGTCCATGTCGTATTCCGTTTCCTCATCTAGCTCTTCCTCTGTCTTCTCTATATACTTATAAAATGCAGATGGGCGCTTTGGAACAGCTGGAAGGTTATATTCAACAACTCGAAATTTAGGCTCAGGAAGCTTTGGCGCAGCGTGGCCTCCAGCATGATGCCCGCCTCCCTCTGCGTGGCCAGTGATGCCCAGTGCTGCATTTCTCCTCTCTTGGTTGTTTTTAAGTCTAGCCGACCTCTGTCGGACCTGTTGCTGGGGTTTGTCAGCGTTCTCCTTGTTGCTGGTGCACTCCATCATCTCCTGAACGATGGAATCGTCATCCGAGATCACGTCCAGACTGTCGTATATGCTGAGCCGATGTATGCGGCCGTCCAGCTCAAACTCCACCATGCGCTGAGCTTGGGCGTAGGTCAGGATCTGCTTGTTGGGAGAGGGCTTGATCGGAGACTGGGACCTCCTCTGCACCGCGGGGCGATGCTGCCGCACTTTCTTCTTCATCTTGGCTCTCCGTGATGCTGTGTGGAGATAGAGACCAATCAAAAAAACATATTACATATGGAGACAGGAATCTTTACAAGCCAAACATATATTTACTGTACTGGCGTATAGGGCTGGGTTAAAAAAATAAATAAATAAAAAATCGATTAAATCAATTTTAAATAGATTCCTTTACATTTTTGCAAAATCAATGTCTAGCAAATGAGATCTATTCATTTTATAGTGACGCATGTGACGTTCAAATTCAAATGAGCAGGAAAGATTCAATCAAGATCACTTCAAGACAGACAGCTGCAGACAAAACTGAAGACATTAACAAATGGGGGCTGACCAGCAAACACCTTGTAGTTGTTACAGACAACGCTGCACATACGGTTTGTACAATGAAGATAATGCAGCTCATGCATGTTTGCTGTGTCACGTCTGCTTGCTCGAGTGAGGCTTCACTTTTCACAAACAAGTTTGCACTTTTGAGACAGTTTTGTTCCCATCTCAAATTTAAACTGTCCGATTTACAACTTTACACTTTGTATTTAATATGACAGGAAAAAAATAAAATACATGAGTATTTTGAAACACAGTTAAACCACTTTAATTATTGTAAAAACAGATAAAATCGAAATTAATCGATTTGGTGAAAATATCCAGCCCTACTGGCGTACAGGAGTTTGACATACTGTGAAGGTAAGTGCTTGTGTGTTGCAACTGATACTGCAGCTGCAGTATTTAACATCACCATGGCAACATTATCTTCTGCTATGCAGACTTGTGAAGGTTTATAACAACATTGCTTCAATCAAAGCACCATTTTTTTTTTCTTTTTTAAGATAAATGAATTAATAGATGAATGCAACAAATATAAGACATTTATTGATGCTGGACAAAAAAGTTGCGGAAAATGGACTGTGCACCATTTTGCAAACTTGCTCAAACCACAAAAAATAGCCATGTCACATCCTGTACTTCTCCAAATTTAAAAGGGACCCTAACCATAACTAAGTTGCTCTGAATCAAAACACTAAAAACGGTAATTTCCAAATAAATTCCAAACTTTAAGCATAATAACAACGAGCACATAAAAATGCTAGCATTTCGAAGCTCGCGCATTAGCCTTTCCGCAATCAGCATCATAGTCGCCAGCTTGTAATAAAAAGTCAGTTGGGCCTGACTTTGTGCAACGGAAGGGATAACTGAGGTTATCGTAAAACATTTACACTAGGAGCTAACACAGTTCACACGACAAATACCATCAAGGTGAACTCGCTAACATGCTAACAATAACGTAAGCTAACTAGCAAAAAAAAAAAAAAGCTAGTCGCTACACGTAAAAAAGAAGGCGTCAAACAAAACAGCTATTTAAAACACCGTTAGTTAACTTAAGCGGAATATATATCTGTTTTTTGTAAATAATTTGTATTTTGTGGTTAACGGGTCAACAGAAGTCGTACAAATATAAGAAGTAGCAAATACCTGAGACAGAAGAGCAGTGTTGCTAGCCGATAGCTAGCTAACAGCCTTACAAAGCAGCGGCCTGAGATTCGATTCTCATTCCCTGCTAAATGTTATCATCCAGCGAGAAATGAGTAGGCTTTTTTGTTTTTGCACCTACTAATACATCAGAATTAGGTCCGCTTGGTGTCCGGGAGGTTTCTGTGCTAATTTCTATGCAGAAGACAAAGTTCTTCCCTTTGTAGGCCATTCATAGTCTGCAGCGTTACAGGATGGAACATCCCCCCAGCATAACAATGCGTTTATCAGGCAGCAGACAACTCCCACCCGTACGCACAACTATACGCGTGACGCTGGAGGTCATATTGGTGAGGATTTCACACAAAAGAGACCCCATCTGTCACACAATCAATGCATTGCTTTTTTGTGTGTGTGTGTGTGTGTGTGTGTGTGTCAGTCCAGGCTAGCCAAACACTAGACAAAGCGCCACACAAAGCGGGTTGGAAAAGGAGTAAAAGCTGTGACGTGTTCTGTTTTGGCTTCATCACGGTCAGTAGAAACGGATATGACTAAAAACCAACAAGTCTGTGTTCACTTTTAAGCAGCACCGACAGCGCCGTCAGGAGAAGACGGAAAAACTGGTTTAAACCTCACCCAGCTGGATGACAGGTGGAACACTAACCGCTGTCAACCATCTTAACCGTTAATCTCAGGAAGATTTCCTGCTTTACAGATTGTTACAGTTTTTTTTTGTTTTGTTTTTTAACACGTTAAATTCATGTGGAAACTATGATTTTGTTATTTCATGATACAAATTATACAGTTAATATATTTTGGGGTTCAGTTTCTGTGATAACAGATTTTTCAAACTTTTTTTTTCCTATTAGAAACTAGAGCCTGAACGCAACACATGGGAATCTGATGGAAATATAGTTTTATATAAACTATACCCCTTCCAATGGGTATAGTTATTATACCCATTGGTCCCTGCTAAAAGTAGAAAGGCATTTCCATAGGATGACCGTGTTATATAGTGGAAATGGAGCCTTTGGAATAGTGTGCACCCAACATAAGGTTTTTGCATGTGTTCTAAGAAGGTCAGATTTGCTATCATCTAATCAGATCGTCTTCTTCCCTGTGCTTGCTGTGTCCCCTACATATTTTATAGCAAAATCCTGCTTAAATGGGAATTACATATAAATAATTGGTGGAGTACACCTCTGTCATGTCAATGCATTTCCACACCTAAGCTAAGCAGTGGTGGTTCTACACCAAATTTCCCAAGGGGGGTAGAGGGAGGCCAATGTTTATTCTTCAAAGCACAAAAACCAAAAATAACTCGCACAGAAAAATGGGAAGTAGCACATTGTGTAATCCAGTAAGTTAGCCAAAAAGCAAAAGCCACAGACCCTGATCTAGATGAAATCTGTGATTGTGATACAGATGTAGCTTAAAGTGAAAAAAAAAACTTAATTCCTAAATTATTGTTAGAGTAATGTGAAAGGGTAAAATATCAAACTGATCCTAAAGGTAAATCAGTTAGACTCTCCTATTGTTGAGGTTATCATCATAAGATATTGATTTAGTAGGCTATTATGCTTTCACTACAGGGTCCAGAACTGCAGTATAGAACTGCCCATTGTGGGAAGTCGCAGCCATACTGACTGCTACGCAAACGTAAACATAGCTCTGATACAACGTTGTTGTTGAAAGAAGAGACAGAAGTAGAGACAAAAAAGATGTTAAAATCCCGAAAAGGATCTGGAATTTAACGGGACACATTAAATAGAGAAGCCACGGACCGGTATGTTGACAAAATTAGCATTTTTAATCATTTGGATCCATATGAAGTTCCAAACAATGAGTGGAGCACCGATGAGTGAGCGCCTATACTTCAAAACGGTTCCGAAGCTACAAGTCCTTGGAGTCTCATATGCAGTTCATGAATGGATGGGTTCAGGAGCTGCAGATCATAAAGCCAGCAAACAGTGGGAACACAGTAATCCGTACGAAGGTAAGCTGTGATCAGACGGGCTCTGGAACCTGCTAGTTTAGCAACCGCTAATGCTAACAACCACTCACGCATGTAATGTACTTTTAACTAGCTGCTATGTGTTTCAAAGGTGTAGTTAGTAACGTTAACTGCCAACCCTCCACGTATTTGAGCCTTTTCCCGCTGCCGTTTTTATTATTTTCCCGTAAAAGATCCCAACTTTGAAGGAAAGAAACAAAGTAGGCTATAAAATAAAACCGTGCATCTTTAACTTACCAGAATGAAAATGCAGGGAACACGCTCTCAATGACAATGGAATACTATGGAAGGTTATGTTCGGTCGTCTTACAGCCGCGATCCAAGGTAGCCGACGACTCTTTATCTCTGACGCTTGGTCTCCATGGTTACGCCTCCAGGCAGGAAAGCGGTGGAAAGTTAACCCATTTTCTATGTTTTTCCCATGGCGATCATGTGTTGAGCTGTTACAGCCCACAATACAGCAACGGTTCACCATGGTTGAAATCAAGTTAAGGTGAAATTAATCAAATTAAAACACGGCTGAGAGGGAGTACAGTACGCGGTAGTCATAGGCAGTAGTCTGAGCCGCGGTAAAAGAAGCATTCAACATGGCGGCGACACAAAGTGCTTACGTCACGACGACCAAGCCCTATTAGGATCATATCAACTCCTCTAAGTTACATGTCTGGGCTGTAAGATAAAAGCTTCCCATTGTTTAAGTGACTCAATCAAATACTTTTCTAGTGTAATACATGCTTAACTATAAAGAAAATGGCTCAAAATTTGGCGATTAGCACATAAACACACTAGACCCAACGAATTCCTTTAAGCCTTTATAGAGCAAGTTACAGTTTTTTGTTTTGTTTTCCTTTGTTTCTCAGTTTTAAATGAGAACGCCAACATTTTCCAATGTTTGGAAAAAGCTTAAAACCAACTGTTAAAATAATTAATTTAAATCCATGTGAAAGATTTAAGATTGAAGACTTTGACTAGGCCACTCTGTTTTCAGAGTTGGCTGCAGTGGAGTGCTTCATATTATTGTCCCACTGTATAATCCAACTGTGTTTGAATTTAAGCCCACAAACTGGTGGTTTCCATCAGTTAGATCAGATCAACCAGGAGCTGATGATGCGGCCCCAGATCATCACACTACCTCCGCCATGTTTTATTGGGGAAATGAACCACGCTTTCAACAAAGTCTCATTAGATATTTTTAATAGATACAATTTTTAATCACTTGCATACCCCTTACAAATGGAGTCCCCCTTGTCTCTCAGTGAGGTCTAGAAGCACAAGATCTATATCCAGCCATTCAGCAAAAATACTGCTACATGGCTGTACATATTATTTTGGCATTTCACCATTTATGAGCCCTTGAATGATATATTACCTACTCTAAATTAAGTTGGAAAAAAAAGGTAAAACACTAATTGACAAGTTAAAAAGTTAATAAGCCCAGTTAACGATTATGTTTAGGTTTATAAACTAAAAAAGGTTATGTTGGATCAAACAAAAACTGTTTCTTTTACTCTTAGAATGTTTTTGTTTATAGAAGCACTTTTGTTATTTTGCCTAATTGTTATTACATTGACATTAATCGTGGCCATCGAAATGTCCCTTTTTTAATGTTCTAATTATGGTCTTTTCGTGGATTCATATAACACTATTGGCTTGAAATTTTTTGTACACATTAGGAATTATTTCACATAAACATTTTATAGTACATAACACGTGGTTATTTGCGCCAGGAATCAAACACTAAAGTGTTATAGATAATATTTTGGAACTTATTCTGATATTGTAAACAAAAAAAAGTCCATCAGTGTATGGAAAGTGATAGTTGAAATCCTGATCCGTTGGGCCATAATAAGGACCCGATGACGTCAGTATGCGACTTCCTTCCGTCCGACGTTGCGTGGAGCTGCCTCTCCGGCCGAACTAGCAAACCAGGAGACAAAAGCAACAAAGTGAACCCCCCTCCGGATCAATCTAATGTGTCACATTTAACCGTTTACAAGCCGAATCCCTCTGCTCGCACCGTCAGAGTGAATAGTAAGTATGCCGGGTTGATGTAAAGGTCTGAAAATGGGCTTTCTTAACGCCGGCAGGGCGTCGTGTTGAGAGCTTTCCTGATTCGGATCCCGTGCGGTTCGTGTGCTGCTTCGGTTGGGTTCTGCCTCCCAGGTTAGCTTGTATGTCCTAAGCGTGGCCTAGCTGGCAGCTAACCAGCTAGTCGTTTTGGTATGGTCCGATATTTACCGGCGTTTATCTTAATGTCTAGTCACAATAATAACTCTGTGTGTCCGCGTATAATAGCTGTGGATATTTTTGCTAAATTTAACGTGACATTAGGGCTATACCTGTGTGTTGCTTTTGTGTGTTTATTAGCTCTGTGGCTAACTATTAGCTCAAACATAGCCATCGTCGTGTTTACTAATGATGTAGTCTTACAGCTAAGAATATTTTTGACCAGTGCAGCTTATATAATACAAGAAGTGGTTTCATGGCTATAACACCCGATTTTCATTGAGACTAAGTGGAAATCTGTGGGCATCAGCCTGATGGAGACTGAGTTGTAAATAGCAGATGAACGGTAGCCCGTCGTGGCTATTTACCGCCGTCCTCACGCATCTTCCTGACTAGCACGTAAAGGCAAACCCGGAAAACTCCCCGCAGGCGATCAGTTATAGAAATCACATGAAATATTGCTTTTTGTTCTTACGGAAGAGGATTAGAGCCCCTGAAAAACTTAAAAAAAGTTAGCTGATTTTTAAATATTATTTCAGTTTAATGTGGGGAAAACTTCGACAATTTTGACTTTAATCTCAGAGTTCTGGCTTTAATCTCAGAGTTCTGGCTTTAATCTCAGAGTTCTGGCTTTAATCTCAGAGTTTTGGATCTTAATATAGATGGGTGCCATGAAGGAAAAGATGTGATAGCACTCAGTTTCACTGACAAAGATGTGAGTTGATTGGGAGGGCCAGTGACACATTGGTGGAAAATGACGGAATTAGGCGACTAATGGAGGAGCAGAAGGTGATAAAAACAAGAGAGCAGTTCTCTAAAACAGACATGGCTACAGCTTGATGCTAGCATGTTTGTTAGCTGTCAGAATTCTGAGAAAAATATCAGTATTCTGATAATCTGACAGTAATCTGACTTTTTTCTCAGAAATCTGACGTTTTTCTCAGAAATCTGACTTTAATCTCAGAAATCTGACTTTAATCTCAGAAATCAGATTTTTTTTCCCCCCTTAGAATTCTGAATTTAATCTCAGAATTTTGGACCTTAATGTAGATGGGCACCATGAAGGAAGAGATGTGGGAGCACTCAGCTTCACTGACAAAGATGTGGGTTGACTTTTTATATGCCCGAGGGGTCCCCGATGATGCTATTTCATTAATGGAAGAGCAGAAGGTGATTAAAA